TCTTGTGAAATTATTAGTGAAGTATTTAAACCTAATTCAACACACGAAAGATAAAACACGTGCAAGTGGAAACAATATTTTAAAGACAAAAATATATGATTAACACACAAAGTGGTTCACAGTTGGTACCATAATATATTGATGCAGAACGCTAATCTAATGAGTGTTTCATAGTGATAAAAGTAATAACAATGTTAAGACTGTTTCACTACTGGTTTATTTCCCCGAATTCAAATTTTTCCCGCCCTGTGCAAATGCAGTTTTTGCACATGGATCAATATTTCTGTGCCCACTAGTATTTATTATTATTATTTTTTAAATTTAACAACAAAAATAATAAGAATAAGAAAGATGAGGGACTGTTCAACATACATTTATAACTTACCACATACTACAAGACGCTATTTTACAAAAACAGGTAAATTAATCTAATCAAACTATTAAAAAGAAATCGCTACTTCTTGATCACATCAGACGATAATCGATGGAATGTTGTAACAGCAAGTAAAATCAGCTAGAGGCTAGAACTGACAGAAAGAGTCAATAAACTATAGGGTACTGCTGGGTACAAAGGACAGTCACGGTGTGATTTATCCAGAAAACGAGGACAGATGTTTGTAGGTGAGGTAATTGCCGTAGGTGTTCGGCACGGCGCATGATAATAATAAACCCACAAACCGCTCTTCAGCGTAGAAAATCAAAAGAATTCTGGCATATCAACATGGCCGCCTAAACCGTGTTGAGAACTGACATATGATATTGGTGACTGCTGCACTTCAAGGTGAGAAATATTTCAGTGACTTGCAAAACGGTTTCAGCGTAAAGAGAATAATTCTTTAATTTTTGGTTGATCCCTTTATTTTATAAGTTTTTTCTCTAGTCTGTTATGTGGCCATATTTCCATAATATTTCAGTTTCCATAACAAGATCTCAGATCTGTGTTTGATTTTAAGATTTTTAATGATGTCAATATTTCACTATTTCTTTTATTCTTTGTCCATGAAATTCTGGGGGCCGCGTTAGCGCAGTCGATAAGAGGCTCACTTTCAAATCCAGCTGCAACTCGCTGCAGCCCACGATAGGTGTTCGAAACCGGCAGCTCCCGGGGTGACACTCTGGGGTAAATTAAAATTTAAAAGAAGGAACGTCGCTGTAGCAGTGAAGCTACTTTAGCTACGGCTACAGAGTTACGTGCGAACGGCGACACAGGCGGAAAATTCACATCTCCGGCCTTCACCTTTTACTTTTACCATGACATTCTGAGAATCTTTCTACAGCATTTCAGCTCAGAACTCCTATTTTCCCTATGGCTGTGAAATAAATAGTCCCTGATTCACATCCTAATGTTGCTATAGAGAAGATGCCTGCTCTCAAAATTTTGACTTTCATTTCCTTGCTGGTACTTAACCATAGACCTAATACTTTGAATTGACATCACAGTGCTAATATCTGACTCTTGATAATCAGACAAGCATTCGACTTTTTAATTATTTTTTTTCTTCCATAAATTTTCAGGTAGACAACATGTTTGCTGCCAGATATCTTATTGGCTGCGGTTTAAAGCCCGGCTTCATTAAAACAACAGCTGACAAGACTTATGAAGGCTTGGTAAGTCAGAGTGCACCACAGAACCTCAATGATTGTTCTGTTCATGTTTTTTAGATTCACAGGCTTGTTAGACACATAATTGTAGACAATTTTGTTGTATTTGCTATATAACCCTGGTGTTGTTGCTTTAATTTTTCTTCAGAGTCAGAGTATATCTGCCAGAGATGCAGGGAACCAAAATTCTTCATATAAATAAGCCAGATCTGTAAAATGGATGTGCACGCAAAACTCAAGTTCTGGAACAAAACTAACATCCAGAAGGGGACGACCAAACCAGAACTTTCTGGGGTTTTGCTGATAGTGAATGTGTTCGGGCTGAAATATTGCAGCCTAGCTGTAAACCTCAACATAGTGTGCTAACAGCCCTTTGATGGTTCACCACATAAGAAAAAAAAAGTAGAGAGATCTGTATTTCCCAGTAAACAGTTTCTAGTGAATTGCAAAGTGAGAAAATGAAGCTGGTATTGGATAGGACACACATAGAGAGGAGGTCATAGGGTGAACTGCTTGGAGATAGAAAAAAGAAAGGATGACATGGTGTGAATTGTTTGAGGGCCTATGCTCCATTGGAGGATTAAAGAGCAGAAGGTATGCTACACATGTTCATAATGGGATAACTTATATTGAAGTTTTGTGTTGCCTTGCCCAGGTTGGACATACAAAATATCCCCTGCTCTACCATTTACAGTAGGAATATATTGTTGTTACTTGTCCTTATCGACATCGTGCCACATTGGTCCCACCAACCCATCCTCCTTTGCCACAGCCATCTCAGTGCCTCCATGCTCACTGTACTCAGCAGGAGGAGTTGATTGGCATAGCTTCTTAGTTGACCACACAACTGGTTTCTGCATGCTTGTCCTTAATACCTGTTTCCAACAGGCGGTTCTTTGTCTCTTGAGTCTTTTATCTCAGCATCTCTAGAACGCAGCACATTCAGTATTTGTCTGGTAGTCCTAGTTTCAGCTTCATTCAGTATGTTATGTCTGCTGCATCCATACTTCTTCCTCCACTAACCATGCAGACATAGCCAGTTTGTGAGCTCTTTTATTTCCTTTCACCTTTCATGTGAATATATTAAAAACCGTAGAATAATAATGCTTGATCTTTGAAAGTAAATGAAGACTAGTTAGGTAGCTAGCCAAGGTTCCACCATCTCTGGAGATGGGTCTCCTCATAACTGCTCCATTCCTGTCCTAGTAGAAATCACTCAGAATTTCTTTCACTGCATTGCATAAGCACATGCCATTCTGAAACTAATTGGCCACCTATCATTTTTGTTGCTGCTGTTCACAGTACAAAACTGCCAATGGCACATACATTTAAAAAAAAAATGAAATTCTCATTTCCCAACGTCACACCCAGCATTCAGCTCAGTAGCTGGGCGACAGAACCTTTAGACTCATTGTGGAGAATTTGCATCAGCAAACCATGACTAGAAACAGATAACTTTTCCAAGTGACCACGGCCACAACTGCCTATCCACCATATTGGACTGGAAGTCCTGTAAATAAAGATTTGGAGACAGCAGTCTTGCATCCTCTCCTCAAGTCAGTCAGTCTGGTGCCATCCCCACAGTAAAGGTTAGCTTCTTTGGATTTAAAGCTTTGGGTCACTGGTCCTTGTTCACTCTGTTGGTCATCGTATCTTGATGTACTTCCCACTTGTATCTCTTCCTACTGCTTGCTTCCGACTTATCCTTATAGTATTAATTTTATTAGAATGTTTTCTTTTAATGGACCCAAAATATTGTTTTTTGCTTCTCTCTTTTGTTTTTCTCTGTTCCTTTCAGCAATATCTTTTTATTGTACGTCTCTAAAACCTCTGCATTTGTTTGTTTCTAAGACCTGTAACCTTTTCTATTCTATACCCACATCTCAAAGTCAGTTTCACTTTCTGTACTGTTTAAAAAACAAAATGCAGTTATCCATTGACACATTACTGTTTAATAAAAATTAAATGCCTAGTTATTACATTACATTTCTTTCAGTAGATGTGTGTTTGTGTGTGTCAGTGCATGTGTGTGTGTGTGTATGTAGCAAAGCTCCATTGGATAACAATACAGTTGTTGTTGTTGTTGAACAGTATAGTTGCTAGTTCATTGTCCAAGTCTCTGTACAATACAGTAAGTTTGAGTTTATAAATAGAATTTGAAAGTTCTCATTCTTAATGAAATTAAACAGAAGAGCAAATACGTTAGTTACAAATTCTTTGCTGGATGTTGTAAACCAACCAAACAGTGTTGGTTATTTGTGCTTTTATGAGGCAATTTTATACTGCTAATAAACCTGAAAGGCCACTTAAAATGTTTAGGTCATTTCAGCTATTTTTTTTAATGCTGCATTTTGTTAAATGCCAAAATGATGTTTGTTAATCTGACAATGAATCAAATCTGTTACGTGTGTATGCCTCCGAGGTCAGTCAGATCTACATGGAGGAAAGGGAAATAATGCATGTTTGAAAATGTTTCCTTTGGCAAAGCCTGTTGATAACATTGGTGAAATTGGCTTGTCAATTGCAAGTTGTGATTATAGTGAACACATGTTAGCCACTTTTCAGCCTTAGCTGGCAGTGGGTGTGTTTGTAATATTTACCATATAAGCCATGGGTCAACAAAGATGCTGGACCAGTGTCGATAGCTGGAGAGTGATAGCATGATGTATGGCTGCAAGAAGTTGCTAGGAGATTAGGAGTTGCTCACTCTATCATACAAACTGTGTGATCATTTTAATACAACTGGCATTGTCACAGGACAACACAGGTTACAAAATCCAAAGCCTAAACTGCACATGAATTTGTTAGTGACCTAACAACCTTTCAGATTTTTTTTTTCCAGCTGTATTTGTTCAGTAGTATGTAATTGCTTTCTGAAGGGTTGATGCTTCATACATTTTCAAATCACCATAGAGAAGTCTGGCACCAAATCACATGCAGTTGACTACAGTGTAGTCCCAAACCCACTGACACAGACACATAAGAGTAAAGAGAATCACAACAAAGGGACAGAAGTAAAAAAGAATCAAGAATTGACATCACTGCACTCGAGATATTCCCACATATACTGCAACTCCTTCCTCGGTAGCCAATGATGTATCAATGTGTTAACGGCACCATTTGCAACGCGATTAAAAGTCTGCTTATGATTTCCCTCTCAGTGTTAAATATCTTTTAGAACCTCTACTCTGCCGCCACCCCCTCCTCCCCCCCCCCACTAGTCTGTGTGGATTCTGTTCTACTCCACTGTCCATTTGATCTCAGAGAGCCCTCTCCATGTCTGCTTTATCATAAAGTAGTTCACTGCCCAGAGGAGCAGCAGCTGTCAGTCTGTCTTCTGCTCATTGCACTTATGTGTAGTAAAATAACCATCCTGCTTTCTTGCTTCTCAGACGAAGATCATGTCCTGCAGTAGCAGCTCAGACAGTTCCGACAGTCGTGGAAAACTGACAACGTACAAACTGGAATCAAGAATAGCAACGAGGGATAACAATTTTGAGCATTATACTCCATCCCCGTACAAAACACCAGGGCCTCGTAGATATGGGCATGTTATCACATATGAAAAAGGAGGTTTGTATTCTTATGCAAAATATATTTCTGCTTGAATAAGTGTTAACTTGTTTTATGATTCATTTATGTCTTTTTGTTTATCTTTCAGGTATGTCAGTGTATGTACTCATATGTACCCATGTATGTTTTTCATATATTTTGTACATTTATGTGTTTTATAGATGTCTATATATGTATTTGATATATATATATATATCCATGTACCTGTTTCATCTATGTCCACATATGTGTTTCATTTGTGCCTATGTGTGTGTTTAATAAATATTCATGCATGTGTTTTATATATGTCTATGTATGAGTTTCACATATACCCATGTGTGTGTTTCACATATGTACACGTATATGGTTTATATATGTCTCTCTGTGTATTTCATATGTGTCCATAAATATTTTTCACATAGTACATGTACATCTTTCATATAAGTCCATGTACATATTTTCCGCATGTGTCCATGTGTGTTTTATATATCTACATGTGTGTGTTTCACATATTTCCATGTGTGTGTTTCACATATGTACATGTGTGTGTATCATATCTGTACATGTATGTGTTTAGTATATGTACATGTATGTGTTTCACATCTGTACACATATGTGTTTAATATCTTTACATGTATGTGTTTCACATATATACATGTATGTGTTTAATATATGTACATATATGTGTTTCATGTGTGTCCATGTGTGTGTTTCATGTGTGTCCATGTGTGTGTTTTATATATGTCCATGAATGTAGTTCAGATATTTTCACACATGCGTTTAAAATATTTCTATATGTGTTTCACATATGTCCATGTATATGTTTAACATCTGTCCATGTATATGTTTAACATCTGTCCATGTATATGTTTCACATATGACCATGTATGTGTTTCACATATGACCATGTATGTGTGTCTTATATATGTCTGTGTATGTGGCACAGTTCATTCTTAACTGACCCTTGACTCTTAACACTGGGGAACCACTTATGAGACACAGGATTTCCCACTCATTACAGTAGGATTTAAGTTCACCTTGGTAGGCTGAGTATTTTTCAGGCAAACCCTGAGGAGAGCAACGTTTTGCAAAGGACCTGCTACATGATAATGATAAAACTACAAGTGTAGCCTCAGACACATTTGATATGGTTTTTTGCTACAGTGTGAGTAAAGCATTTGTTTGTTCATTTGCTGTAGGACTGCTGCCGAGAGATGGTATTCCTATCCGGAATCTACCTCAATACAGACCTAAGGACACCTGGACAAAAAAGGAAGCCTTGTTTGGCCAGAATGATTATATAGGTAAAGTATGAGTTTTTTTTTTTCCCTAGGGGCTATACAGATTATAGGTAAAGTATGAGTTTTTTTTCTAGGGGCTATACAGATTATAGGGTAAGTATGATTTTTGTCTAAGAGCTATACAGATTATAGGTAAAGTATGATTTTTGTCTAAGAGCTCTACAGATTATAGGTAAAGTATGATTTTTGTCTAAGAGCTATACAGATTATAGGTAAAGTATTGAGTTTTTTTCTAAGAGCTATACAGATTATATAGGTAAAGTATGATTTTTATCTAAGATCTGTACAAGATTATATAGGTAAAGTATGATTTATAGTTAAGACTAATTATATAGGTAGAGTATTATTCATATGTCCCAGCTATACAGATTGATTATATAGGTTGATTACAATTGATTTCCATATTTTAGCTAGATACAGTACTTGTCCACTTTTCACAACTACAAGAACCCCATCAGCGAATTTATCATCTTGTTTGTTTCCTCTTACACCTGGATTCTCTAGCACAAAAGTCAAACTGATTTTAGATATATTCTTGGATATTTAGACATACTGTTAAAAGGTCAGATCTATTGCTGTATATTTTTGGACATAGATATTTTCTAAAATAAATTCCCATTTTTTTTATTGGATGAATTAACAAATTGTGGTATATTTTGATAAATTGTTGAAATTTCATATATAGAGCCAATGCCGCTCCTCTGGGCAGTGAGCTACTATATGATATAGCAGATGTGGTGAAGGTTCTATGGGATCAAATGGATAGGGCTAAAGAACAGATAGGGAATCTATACACTGAAAGACTAATTCAAGGGAATGGGGGATTTAGAGGTTCTGGAAGGTATCAAACATTGAAGGGGAAACAGAGGCAGACTTTTAATCAGGTTGCTACTGGTACTGTTAGCATGCCAACTCTTTGTTGTTTACTGAGAAGGAGACGGAGCATATGTGGGAATGTCCTGAGTGCAGTGATGTCAATTCTGGATTAATTTTTTAATTCATAAATATTAGATGTTCTAGTATATGTTCGGATATTTTGATAAATTGTGTGTTTAGATGTTTTAGTGGATACTTTGATATTCAGATATATTCATGTATGTTGGGCCCGGCTCTCTAGCGAAGTTAGTTAAACCTGACTTTCGCGGCGGCCGGGTGACGAACTCCTTGTGGTCCGGGTTCACTCCCGGGGGATACAGAAAAAGCCATGATATTTCTCCCAGATTAACGGTACCTATAATGGAATCAAGGCCGAAGGGTTGCGATATCCATAGTACCGAGCCAAAGGGTTTACAACTCATGGTTTCTGGATACGTTAAAAAAAAAAAAAAAAAAAATATAGTCATGTTGGAAGTTTAGATACAAAGCCCAACAATTAAGTAATGAGACTGATTTTATTATGGCCAAGACAAAAATGCCAAATATGAAGCAAAGCATGGGATCTAAAAAGGCAACATTCATCTATGATCTGGCAACTTTTCATCACCGCTCGATAAGCAGACAACAAACAAGCCGCCATTTTGTTGACCTAGTCTGAGGTGCATTGTTACTTAATCAGCATGGAGCAAAAGGCTAACATTAAATTCTTTTAAAAACGCAACTCAAAACAAAAAAATGCGCCATTTAAACAGTTGAATTTATGCAACAAGTTTTAGGAATAATTGTTTATCTCCTGTACAAATTTTCAGGTGGTATTTTCGATTCAAAAGTGGCGTTGAAATGATTACTAATGCACCTAGACCTGGACACCAAATTTATGTTTGTAATAATGAAGTCATTGCAAATGTCAGAGAACGGATACAAGAAGATTATTGTTTTATTGTTAGGATGATGGCAGATGAAACTGGTGTTAATAGAGAGACCATTCATAATATTTTAGTGCAGGATTTTGGCAAGAAAAAAATTGCTTGCTGGTTTGTACCACATTTGTTGTCTGATGACCAAAAACATCAGCGGGTTGAGTACCCAAGAGACACCATCAAAACAAGAATTTTTGGCCCCAAACAAGTGTGTGTTCTTAGTCTTCCACCTCATTTCCCCAGATTTGTCTTAATGTGACTATTTTCTTTTCCCAAAATTAAAGTTACGATTGAAAGAACGTTTCTTTAACGATATTGATAATATCCAAAGGACCATAACATCGACTTTAAAGGCCATAATAACAGAAAAACTACAGAGGTCGTTCCAGTGTTTGTTAGATCGTGCCACTTGCTGTATCCAATGCACAAGGAGCTCACTCTGAATAAAATACAGGTTATATCTTCAACTGTTGATTATTTTAATGTTTATGGAATTAGTCTCATTACCTAATTGTCGGACCTTGTAAATTGTTGGATATTCGGATAGTCAGTCAGATATCCAGTAACACTGTTTTGTATCTTTCCGAATTGATAGACATTCTAGGAGATGGTGATGTGCACCCTGTAGACCTGCTGACCGGACCTAGGTGGCTGATTGCTTTCAAAGCCAATGAAAGAGATCGATTGATCCGGAAAATGGAATGGGAAGGTCCCAGGTTGAAGACATTTTATCCAACAGAGTACAACAGAATAGAGAAGCGAATCAGATTTTTAACGAAACTGTACAACTTGAAGAGATGCAAGAAGTCTAGGGACTGATTGCTCTGGGTGTATGGTATGGCTAGCTGGTGTGTGTGTTAAGAGATGATTATTAAAGATTTGAAGAAGAAACAAAATGTTGATTTCATTATTTGTCTTTTCTTATGATGTTTTGTCAGGAAGAAACAGCCATCATTTGCAGGACACATTAGAATAATTCAGCATGAAAAATTGGCAGATTTCATGGGAGGAGCAAGCCTGTCAGTAGAAAAGTAAAGAGATTAGGTACTTAATCTGGAAGTCAGACACTCACCAAACACAAAGAACTTAAGATCTGCAACTATTGTGTGATCCCCTTAGTGCTAACTTATGGATGCAAGAGCTGGAAAGCAAAAATAGATCTAGATAATAAAAAAAATTAGACAATTTTGAGAACAAATGTCTTAGAAGAATACTAAATCTCCATTGGACCGAATTTCAGATTAAATACGCAAATAAGACAAAAGAGAATGTCTCAAATTTTAAGAGAAAATACCACTGAAACTAGATCTGTCATGAGCTCAGAATGGTTAAGACAAGATGCCCTCCATCCCCATTCCCCATCAATCCTCATGGACACTGAAAGGGGAACAAAAATGGGAAAGACCAGAGTGACCCTGCGTAGAACCATCATCAGGGAATGGTCATCATTATTTTGTGGAATGTCAGGACGATTACTTTACCTGTTTAATTGTACACAAGTTTGGGGAAAAAGATTCAAAATGTGAACTTATGGTCAGCGAACTAAATTGCATGTGATCACCATGGTTGTCAGTGAAACTGTTTTCATGCTTCACGTGCACAAAAGACTGTCATAGGAAAATATTGCATCCATTTTTACTAAAAATTATAAAACGATGGGACAACTGCATCAATGTTAATTACAATTATGAGGAAAAATTAAGGGACAGTGTATGTGTACAAGTATAAACGGTTTTCAAAGTTGTTAGTCTATATTTAAAAAAAAAAATTCCAAAACAATTTGTGACTTATTTATTGACTTCCCCTCATATAAAGAGATCAGATCAATCAACAGTGTATAAAGAGATAAAGTTTGTCAATAAAACATAAAGAGATTTTTTTCTTCAAATTCATGTCATGTGGCGTTGGTAGTCATGTCTTTCCACAACCTTCTATCTCGTATACTTTCATTCAGCTCTAACACAGATGATCCTCCAGGTCTGTAAATTAGACATGAAGAGAAGGGATAAATTTATATGTGTTTGTGTGCACTAACATACACTTTTAAAGAAAAAACCAGACATCATAAAATAAAGTGGTTCAACTAAGTTTACTCAGGGGAGCAAAAAAATTTTTTAATGGTGATTGTCACGGGCAATAGGCCTTAGCCCTAGCGTTGAAAGATAATCAATACTACTGGTAATTTTGGCCCACAGGCTGCCAGTTGAACAGCCTTGTCCTCCTAGTGTAGATTCTGGGGCCCTTTTGTGGGGAAAGCAAGAGTGCACCCACTACCTCCCCAAGAAGCATGTTGTAGTAGTTGACTAATTGGGGACCTCCTTCCAAGTCAGAGTGCATTTGCCCGAGCGGCAAGGAACAACCGACTGTACACAAATAAGCCAGTAAAATGGATGTACACGCAAAACTCAGGCCCTGGCACAAAGCCAAAGTCCAAATGGACGAACAACCAGGACTTTCTGCTGGAGCTTACAGCTGGTGAACAAAGTAGAATAGTCCTGTCCTTAAAGATCTGAACATAAAGGAAGACTGGCTAGTAATCAGCATCTTGTCTTGTAACCTGAAATACTATATGGCCACAAGTGCCACGGTGGACTGGGAAAGGAAAGTAGCAGAAGACATGGTACCAGGAATGAAAGGGCAGAGCAGCATGAAGATGGGCATATGATAATGACACCTCGGGTAGGAAACTGCAAGACAGCTCGGTGAAAGACTTTCTGTCAGATCATGATGAGAATGACATTCTTTCTGCAGAGTACGTGCTTAACGATGATGAACTTATAAAAACAAAACATAAATTCTACAAAACCCAAAGACTGATATAGATATGCCTTTTAATATGTCTTCTGTTATATGTGTATATAAATATAAACAAATAAATGAAACAATTTGAATCATATAAATAATTATTGACCACAAAATAGTAAATTTATAGGAATGCAATGATTTCTGCGGAATGAAGTAATTTCCCAGAGTTTTATCACTTTTTAACAAAACTATACATACATAAATGTAGCAATTAGACACACTGTGTGTCTGAAACTGCATGTGATATTATGTTAAACTCCAAACACATACATTTATATATATGTGTGTGTGTGTGTGTATACAGAGAGCGAGAGAAATGTAGAACAAGATGGAAAGGTAACATCAGAGAAACTGCAACAGCCCAAGGCCAAAAGAGAAGGGTAAATTACACCTTGTATACCCTGTGGCACTTATTTATTGTTCAAACATCGTACTAAAAACAGCAGTAAGGTCACGGAAAAAAACTAAGTTAAAAAAAAATCAGCAGTAAAGTAAAGGAAAAGATAAGTACAAAAACAGCAGTAAAGTAAAGGAAAGGTAAGTAAAAAACAACAGTAAGGGAAAAGAGATTAGTAAAACCAGCTTTAAAGTAATGGAAAAGAGATTAGTAAAACCAGCATTAAAGTAATGGAAAAGAGATAAGTAAAACCAGCAATAAAGTAAAGGAAAAGATAAGTTGAAAAAAAAAAGAGCAGAAAGCCAGTGAAAAAAAAACAACGCGCGGGGGGGGGGGGGGGGGGGGGGGTCAGCTTATAAAAACAGCAGTCTCCTGTGTGTTTTTGGGGTTCATACTGGAAATAAATCACATGGTGGGTCAAGTGATTTATATAACACCAGTGACTCGGACATACCCACACTGGACTACAAGTTACTTTGTAATCATTTTGTGGTGTTCCAATATAACCGTGCTGCATGGCCATTTGGTGCAACATCATTTCCAGGATTTGTAACTATGTGATTCTCATCCTTGAGATGTTAATCCTACAGACTGCAGTCTAAAAGATAAAGAAAAAAAAAAAAAAAAAAAAACTGCCTCAGCTCAATGCTTATTGAAGCTGCTTGAACACCAAGATTTTTTTAATCAATGAATGAACAAAGCTCCCAGATAGCCTGTGTGGGTCCATGACCCCATGTGGGTGGTGTGAATAACAGACCCACTGCCCTCTAACAAGTATGTCATAAAGGGAAACTCTTTTTCTTCTTCACGTTCAATGGCTGTAAACTCTGGCTGACAGTTCTGATTGTTTGTCCACATCTGGACTTTAGCCTTGCTCCAGAACCTGAGTCTTGCATGCACCTCTGTTTCACAGATCTGAAATAATTGTATGCAGACTGTTGGAAAAGGCAGCTAATTACAGGCCTGCAGATATCGCAGCCTAGCTGTAAACCATAATACAACAAGCCAACTGCCCTTTAACAGGACAAACACTTAAGAAAATACAGTGAAGGTTTCACTTCCACACTCGTAAGTCATCATGTAGCAGGTCCTATGCCGAACATCAGCCTCATTATGGTTAGTTATTGGGCACACCCATCTGCAATGATGCCGGAACCTTGACTAACAACTAACAAACAGGCGAATCTTAGCCTGCCAAACAAGACTTAATGCTATGGAAAACAGGATAAAGGAAAAAACACAATAAATGATCATTAAATTTAACAAAAATGTTGCTACCGTCTGTATTTACCACTTCATAAGGCCGTGTAGACCGGGGGGAAGGGGCGTAAGCCTAAGGAGTTCGGGCCACACGGTTAGCGCTGTTGCCGCAGACTGCAAGTTATGGTGTTTATTTTTACCCCTGACAGAAAAAGGACCAGGGGTCAAACTCAGCTCTCTTGCACAAGAGCCTGACCTTGTCAGCCTTATGGTCCTCGGACTATTACATAACTTATAAAGACAGTAACTTAGCAGCTCAGTGTACATCAATATGAAAAAAAAATATACAGTTTTACAAATATGCACCCAAAAAAAAAATGCACAAGCAATAAAGAAATGAGCAGTTTCAATAAGAAAATATATTAATTGTTATATTAATCACAACTGAATACATCCATAGTATGGATGATAATCTACATGTCAGTCATTTGCCATAATTAAAATATACCACTGCATACTTCTGAATACAATTACACAAAAGCAATATTTTAAGTAATGTTGTATCAACAGTGAGTGTTGGAAAAAGACGGAAGTTACACATAATTTAGAGAATTTTCAGAATAAATGCTTTTGGAGACTCTTGTAAATATTTTGGCCAAACAAGATCATAAAGAATTGAGGAAAGAAACAAAATGTTCATCACTGAAAAACGTTATTGAAGGAAGATGAAGATAGCTTGGGCATGTTTGCAAAATACCTCGTGACACTTTGGCAAGCAAGCTTTTCAAAGGACGGCTGACTGACAAAGGAGATGAGGGTGACCTAAGGAAACCTGGAAAAGGAAATGAAGGAATGTAAACTGACATGGGATATCATGGGCAGGACAGTAGCAATGGAGATCCCTTGTGAATGCCTTGTGTGTCAAGAATAACATAAAGAGGACATAGGCAGATTTTTCGAAGGAACAAACTTTATTTTAAAGGGTTCACAGCTGGGCACGCAGGCCCATCTAACATTCTGCCCTTTTAATCTCTCTTCTTTCATACATCATTTCATTCATACAGCAAGTAACAGTAAACATCAACAGCAGCTTAATATTAAATACAAGCACTGGAATGTGCACACTTTAAACCACAGTAAGCCGTACTAATTATAAGAAATTTTGATGAATTATGCATTAGTTCTAAAATACTTTTATCATTTCTGGGAGCTTGTAATTTCTGCTCAGATAATATTGAAGTTTCCGATCATATGTATAAGAGCTAGTTGTATTTGCTACTTGGTGTGCAAGATGGTTTCACAGTTGAGCTGCAGAGTACACAGGTCTATCCTAGGTTTAGGGATATGCCATATGTTTACCCATTTGCTATGCCTTCCATTGTATTTAAACAACAGCCATAAAGAATATAAAGCCTTT